AAGCAAGCAAGGGCGCGTCACAGAATCAGTTTTTCGTGGTGAATGCAGACAATTTTGAAACTCTGCTCCGTCGTAGAGTAAAACGTGTGTCGAATGTCGAGCGAAAATTGTGGAATCAAGATGTACTGGGAAATCTCTCCTTTGAATTCTTTCTATACTGCAAAGCGCGCCCAAAGCCTGCACCAACACTTCATCGAGCGACTGCTGCACGAATTAGAACCCCGACAGCAGCTGTCGAACGTTATCAAGAGAACAATGGAGTGGTATTGGGACCAATTACAATAAACATCTTGTCACTACGCATGCCAGACAACCCGATAGGACACAGCTCACAATTCCGAGTGACAATACAACGCGTCAAGCGATGGCAATTGACAAGGCAGCGGCTCGACTAGCCACAGCTTCGCAAAATAACGCTCAAAGACAGACAGCATCGATTCGCCTCGAGATTAACGGAACGTGGAACACTTTTAAAGTTGATGTATCGAGTTTAAGAAAGGATCTAGGACTTCCCGATCATGGCAGTTTTTCACAAGGGATATTTCATGGATTCGTACCTGTAGATCCACCTGCAATGGACCTAAACGACGTCGATCACATTGAAAAAGATGTCGATCACATTGAAAAAGAAAACGTCGGTGGTCGGCGAGAAGAAGACTAGTATTATCTAGAAATAACGATTTTTCACGTCGTACGCCTCCGGGATTCTCCAGGCAATTCGTAATATCATGAAAAAATATATTTAATCTTAACATTCCCGTTTGAATTTTTTATAAATTTATATATAGTTGCTGATAATTATAATTAAAGCGCTGCATGCATCAAAACAAAAACCGCAAGGTCAGGGCGATGCCGATCGACTTGATCGAAGAATATGGCTATGAGGGCGTTACCTTGTACGCAACATTTATAGAGGGAGATGTAGCTGGCAAGTTCATCTCGGATGTGGCTCTGAATGAGAACAAGTCTGTGCGGTTGAAAAACAACAGTGGAAATTACCGAAAATGGGTTTGTTCGGCGAGGGGGTGTAAATGGTTCGTCGCCATGTCAAGGAAACGTGTGAAACAAGATACGAAGAGTGCACGAAAACGTCCTATTACGAAGCTCAGTCATGTACCGGATAACGCTTGGTATATCTCTAAAGTGGATTTAGATCATTCCCAGGTTTGCAGTAGCACGGCCAATCCTTCCGGAAGTCAAATTGAGAGAACGTCAGGCTTTCAGGCGGCCGTTTTGGAGGGATATAACACGTCAAAACAACGTATTGTTCGTAACTTACAAGTTGTGGAAGGAATCGACGTGTCGTCGAAGAATTCTGTTCTTTACCGAACTATTAGTTCAGCACTGACAAAATTGGAAAGTGATTCTAGTGAGGAATTTCAAGCTTTTCCATCCTATTTAGATGCTTTTGCCAAGGAAAATCCTGGATCAAGAGTGTGCTGCCAACTCGATCATGCTGGTAGATTTTTCCGAGCTTTTCTTTCTATTGGATCCATTGTGAACGTTCAAAACTCACTTCTTCCAGTGTGGGAGTGCGATGGCACCCACATGAAACATTCTAGATACAACGGAATTTGCTTAACACTAATTGGGAAAGATGGAAACAAGCGCATCGTACCGGTAGCTGTTGCGTACATCCACAAGGAGACTGTGGGGAACTTCGTATGGTTTTTTGCAAACT